GTCACTAGAGCATGATAATGAATAAGGTCACAACTCATTCAACCTCTTGCCTCCCAGATTCATATATTCTGCTTACTGAGGGCACAGTACCATGACATGACATTGGTTTAAGGTATATACTGCATCCTGAAGGCTAGCACCCCACCCCACAGTGCCATGTCTAAACTGTTGCACATCCTCGCTTTCAAGAGGCTATTCCAGGCTCTATCAGGCCGGCAGCTTCTAAATGGGGTGATGTGTGGTAGGACTGTAGGTCAGTCCTGTGGTCATACGCTGACGGCCGAGTCTCTCCATTAAAGCAATGCTTTATGGTTGATCAGATGCTACATGAGTCCTCGAACAGTGGAGGCACTGTGAGCAGGAAAGGCACACATGTCAATCCTGCTCAGAGTGAATTACTGTACTTTCCAGCCTGGAGGGGGTCTGATGACATCGACTGTTCTCCTCAAAGGATAGTATCCAACTGGGAGCTCAGTGTCCATCTGTGCCGGCCAGTTGATTGTCAGCAGTGACAGAAGCTATGTCGGTCTTGACAACAGGAAGCCCATGCTGCTGGGCCCATGCATAGCCTCCCACTCTGCTGTGAAGGTGTCTCTATGAGCCCACTGTGCAGGCACTGGGGTACCAAGGAAAAAGCCAGCTGACACCTGCTGGCCAAGTCATCCAGTTGGTTTAGCTGTTAGGCACCTTTTCTGCAATGGATGTTCTCTGATGGGCATGAACACAGTACGAAGATCCTCACATTTTGAGCTTAAGTCTCTAGGTCTCCCTGCCTCTTCCCCAGTCAGATCATTGTTATATTTAGATGCTAATTATTATTCTGGAAGGAAAGTGGGGACACATCCTGAGAAGGGCAAGCATTGTCATGTACATCTCATTTGAGGCTTCTGTATAATTTTGGGGGGAGAAGAGTCTCTCTCCCAACAAGGTGGGGGGGTAGGCCACTACGCCAGCCCAGGGGGATTGAGGGGCTAGACTTAGATGTTCTCATCTCAAGCTTTACAGTCCCACATCTTCCCTATCAGGGCATGACCTGCCTGCTCTTCTACTAGCACTAGGAGCCCCAAATGATCAGGCAGCGCATTTGCCTAGGCTGAGAATTCATCCTTCTCTCACATAGTGCCATGCTGTAGAAGATGAGGGGCTGAACACTGGCAAGGAAGCCCTCTGATTCTCACATGGGGCTTTAAATTGGTGGTTAATCTGAGGCTGTCACTTTCTTCACTCTCTTCAGTGCATCCATGGTGCTTAGCAATAGCCTCCCAATTCTGTGGTCCTGATACTTAATATTTTCCCCAAACTTCTCAAATCCTAGAGACATTGCACCAACTGGTGCATCCCTGTCCCCCTGTGTCTGACCCCAGGTATCACCACAGGTGAAGATCTTAGCAACTGAACTGCTACCGCAAACCAGGGCCCAGGGCTTTCCACACGCCACCTAACCAGCAGCAATGGAATCCTCATTGCCACCTGGCCAGCAAGTGACCTAATAACGCCAGAATCTCATTCTTTCTAGGACCTTTCCTGGTACTGTCTTGGGTCAGGTTTCCCAGAAGCAGGTTGCACAAGCGAGTAGTGGAGAAAGGGCTTTCAGAGGAAACCTGTAAGAGCACTGAGGACAGAAGACAGGGCAGGGAGGAAGTGGGCTCTGCTCAAGTCTAGCGCCAGCCTGATCTCCTGGGAAACCCTGGACCATAGATGGTACCACAGGTGTCCCATTTTGTACCCCGAATCAGTCAGCCATTGGCTGGCTGGCCATAAGCTGCCCTTGAGGAAGGCCATAACCTGTCAGGCATTTCCTGGCTAGACAGCTCTGGTCAGCTGAGGGCGCTCCTCCGAAGGGCACAACTGAGAGCTGTTAGCAGCTAACCTCATAGCAGCTGGGCAGTGGGTGCATGCACCCGACAAAAACGATGTAGGCAAGGTGTCTAAAGCCCCTGTGACACTACCGTGTGTGATTTTTTTAATTAAAAAGTGAACAGATTTTATTTTTTAGATCAGTTTTGGGTTTACAGAAAAATTGAGCAGAAAATACAGAGTTCCCATATAGCCCCTCTCCATTGGATCCCTACACAATATCTCCTATTATTAACATCTTGCATTAGTGTGGTACGTTCATTACAATTAGTGAGCCAGTACTGATGCATTATTATTAACTAAAGTCCATAGTTTACATCAGGGTTTACTCTTTGTGTTGGACAGTTCTGTGGGTTTTGACAAGTGCACAATGTCCTCTATCCACCATTACGATATCATACAGAATAGTTTCACTGCCCTAAAAACCTCCTGTGTGCAGCCTGCTCATCCCCTCTTCCCCATATCCCTGGTAACCACTGATCTTTCTACTGTCTTTATAGTTTTGTCTTCTCCAGAGTGTCAAACAGTTGGAATCATGCAGTATGTATTTTCAGATGGGATTCTTTTGTTTAGCAATTTGCCACTTCGGTTTCCTTATGTCTTTTTGTGGCTTGATAGCTCATTTCTTTTTATTCCTGAGTAATATCCCATCATATGGATATGTCATAGTTTGCAATTCATTTGGGTAAATACTAGGGAATATGATTGCTGATCTGTATGGTAAAACAATTTTTAGCTTTTGTAAGAAACTATCAAACTATACCATTTTGCATGGCCACCAGCAGTGAATGAGAGTTCCTATTGTTTCCTATCATCACCAGCATTTGGTGCTGTCAGTGCACTATATACTACTTTTCACAATGTAACTCTTGAGTTTTGCTTCTTGTTTTTGGGTCTTTTTTGCTTTGTTTTGTTTTGTTTTGAGGTGTCAGCCAATCTTCTGAAGAGCTGACTGGTTTTTGTGAAACTAACTTGTGAAAAAGTTGTAAGTTCACAAGGACATCAGTTTTTCCCTTGTATCTTTCTGACTTCTGAAACCAGCCTGCTTTCCTAGCACTGAAGTGCATACATGCACACGCCAGATAACACCAGATAACATAAACATAAACAGTCTACAGCCAAGTCTAGACTAAGACACAACTAAATGTTATCCATTCTGCTCATCTCACACTTTTGAGTCTGATCACTTTGAATTAGCAGGATAGATAGAAGGAAAAAAAAGAAGGGCACCTGGCCAATTCACATCCTTATGCTTTGGGTGAAGGAGTTATAACTCTATCAAATGGCTCATGTCTGTAAATTTATAGATTATGCCACTGTGTTGACCAATGTATGCCAATATCTTCAAGCAAAGGGGCTTTGAAAGATCTCTTTAAGAGATTCTTGGCACATGAAAAAAGGAGTTAAAGGCTTCAAGAATAAAATAAACTTTAGGACCAGATAAGGTTGATAGGCTCAATTTTCTAATAGTCCTTGAAAATCTGAAGAGTTGCCTGTTAAATAAATAACCTGGAATTGAATTCTCAACATACATTTTACTCATCTGTAGGGCCCCGGCTGAAAGGGGGTCCAATATCAGGGGTCTTCCTTCATTTCGAGCTTTTCAAAGTAGAAAAGGAAGCCAGGATGTGACTTGATTAGAGACAATATTGGGGGATAAAGCTGATTATTTAGGATATAAAAATCTGATTTTATCTTTTCTTAAAAAATGTTTTTTTTACAAGCCATTACAAAATACCCATGGAAAACAAAACATAAAAATTTCACACCTCCTAGAGATTCTGCTATATCCCATAGAGGGATAGGCCTTATCATGCAAAGCAAATTTAGGGACTATATTATAGTCTATGAACTTTCACCAGCCAAGATTTTTCTCAAGTCATACTTTTCCTGGTCTGTATTTTCCAAATACAAAATTTTAGAATGCACATATATACCCTAGTTGAAAATCACTGTTTTATTTTTATTTACTTATTTATTTATTTTAGGGAGGGGAGGAGCAGAGGGAGAGAATCCCAAGCAGACTCCACACCCAGCATGGGGCCCAATGCAGGGCTCGATCTCATAACCCTGAGATTATGATCTGAACTGAAATCAGGAGTCAGAAACTTAACTGACTAAGCCACTCAGGTGCCCTGACAATCACTGCTTTATTAAACGGCATTGCCATTAATATTTGTCGACCAAGACTGCACATCCAGTTACTTATTATGTAACCATCTTCCTGTTAATTTGCCATTTCACGCTCATTAGCATCCAAAGGTCTAGAAGTCTGACCAAGAAACATAAGTTAGCTTTGCCCCCGAGTGGGGGTGTGGGGATCTGTGTGTGTTTCTTCAATGACTTTTGTACTTTGTAGACACTCAATAAATGTGTTTTAAACTAAAATTCCTTCCAAAGGCCTTTTCTAAATAAATCATAGGCCTGAATACATACCTCATGTCCCATCAAATTAATTACATGATAGTCCAAAACCAAAATCTCAAATACTGAATTCCCAAGACTTTGATTATGGGCAGTGGTAAAAGCATAAAGTAGAAGGTCTTTTGGAAAAGGTTATCTCCAATTTAAACAGGCAGGGAAAGACAAGGTGACAACAAAAGCAGCACATTTGGAACCCCATAAACCATAATCTATTATGTCATTAAATATAAAGTATAAAAAGCTTCCACACGTGTTTTTCTTTGTGATCCCATACCAAATTCTGGCCACCAGAAAACTGACCCACGAAGAAGTCAGGGCTGAAGTCTTATGGGGAAGCACCTGGATCAAGTGCTCCTAGCCTTTCCATGGAAAGCTTGGAGAGGAGGTGAAATCCATAAATCTTGGATAGAGCAAGAAGTAAAGTTGCCACAAGCTGGTGTCTTTATTCCCAAGCACAGACATTCTGGCAATGAATGCTCTTATCTCCACAACCATTTCCTTAAGAGGACAGCTTTTCCAAAGAGGGAGTCACTTTCAATGTGAAACATTTGCCCTTCATTTTAATTCAAGCCTAGTTAAATCTACACAAATGAATAGCAGAAAACTGATATATCTTTCTTCTCACTCACATAATTCAGGAAAGGCTAAGGCAATGTCTTCTTCAGCTTCTCAGCAGCTGGTATCACCCATTGCTACCCCACTCTCCCACTGGATCCTACCTTTAATCCCATGTATGCTGGGGACTGGGTCTTCCTTACTGCTGGTAGCTCTTTCCATATTTTCAATCCAGGGTACAAATTCCACTCCAATGCCTTTGCTTTAGAGAAATATACATGAACATTGAACCATAGGAAAGAATGGCACATGCATTCCTCCCTATACCAGGTGGAGTTGTGCTGGCTCACCCGGGTTCTCCTAAAATCTCAAGAACCTGCTTTATCTTCCTCCTTCACTTTAGTCTAAGACCTGGCCCGGCTCTCTGCATGATATTCAACAAGGGAAGGGTCAGTGGACACCACTTGCTGGATTATACAGTTAACATCTAACTGGCTGCAAGTCTTTTTTTTTTTTTTTCTTAAAATTTTATTCTTAGGTAATCTGTACACCCAGCGTGGGGATTGAACTCACAACCCTGAGGTCAAGAGTTGTGTGTTCTACTGACTGAGCCAGGCAGGCGCCCCTGGGTACAAGTCTTAAAGTGGGAGAGGTGAGGGGGAGGAATGCCCTTTCATCCTCTCATAAGCTGTTTTATTGGCCCACTCTAGCTCCCTCCTTCCCTCTTCCTTGTCCTGAAATGCCGACTATTAATAGTAACTCTTTTGTGTTAGTCTAGCTCAACAAATAAACACTTGCTAGGCCCTGGAGGTCTGAGATGAATGAGATGTGTCCTGAGCTAAAACTCATCACCCCTGACTCTGCTTGCAGAGTAGTTTGCCAGCCTGACGTGATTATTCAATGAGTTCTTTTGTTTATTCACTAAACATTTACTGAGCACCTATGAGTGCCAGGCCCTTGTCTAATATGAGGCCCAAAGGAAGCTAAAACTACTAAGACAAACTTCATGCTCTAGAGGAATTCATGGTCTAGTGGAGAGAAAAACGTAAACACATCATAAAATTCTAATATTCTAAATGCTGTGATAGAGTACTCTGCGAGAGTGTGGGTGCCTTGCCCAGAGCGTACAAGGTTATTATGCTCAGCAATCCCAAGGGTTCAAGGTGGTATAGGAATGGACTGGGATGATAATCTGGTATCTGTCAGAGCTTTGAAAAATGCTAGACAGACATAAGGTCCTGATATTCCTCATCCTGAAACCTCCCACCCCCGTTGCCTGATGCTTCTGTGTTCTGTCTGGGAAGTCTCACCTCCTCTCAGGGACGAGCCTAAGGCCCTGCTCTGGTCTGCTGCCTAAAATTTGTGTGAAATTGACCCTCTGTTTGCCAGTCTGTAAAAGGAAGGTGCTGGACAATGCCTCTGGGCCTGTCTTTGAGTTCAGTAGGGCTTTTCTTCTTATCTACAAGCTAGGACCTGGTTCTGCTTATTTTTTCGTACTTTTCATTTCAGTGACTCACTTATTTTCTAACTGGAAGTTTGTACCTCTTAATCCCCTTCACCTATAATCCCCATTCCCCATCCCCACACCCTGGCAACCACTAGTTTGTTCTCTATATTTATCAGTTATTTCTTTTTTGTTATTTTTGATTGGTTTGTTGGTTTTTTAGATTCCATATGTAAGTGAAATAATAGAATATTTGTCTTTCGTTGACTTATTTCACTCAGCACAATACCCTCTAGGTCCATCCCATGTTGTTGCAAATGGCCAGACTTCATTCTTTTTTATGGCTGAGTAGTATTCCATTGTGTACATATACCACATCTTCTTTATTTACTCATCTATCTATGGACACTTAGGTTGCTTTCATATCTTGGCTATTGTAAATAATGCTACATTAAACATAAGGGTGCATATATCTTTTTGAATTAGTGTTTTCATTTTCTTTGGGTAAATACCCAGAAGTGGAATTACTGAACAGTATCGCACTTTTATTTTTAGTTTTTTGAGGAATCTCTGTACTGTTTTCCATAATGGCTGCACCAGTTAACATCCCCACTACGCTCAAGGGTTCCCTTTTCTCCACGTTCTCAGCAACATTTTTTATCTGTCTTTTTGATGCTAGCCATTCTGACTGGCGTGAGGTGGTATCTCATTGTGGTATTGACTTGCATTTCCCTGATGATCAGTGATGTTGAGCATCTTTTCATGTGTCTGTCGGCCATCTGTATGTCTTCTTTGGAAAAATGTCTATTCGGGTCCTCTGTTCATTTTTTAGTCAGATTGGGGTTTTCTGGCATTGAGTTGTATGAGTTCTTTATATATTTTGGATAGTAATGCTTTATTGGATATATCATTTGCAAATATTTTCTCCCATTCAATAGGCTGCCTTTTTTGGTTTGCTGATGGCTTCCTTTGCTGTGTAAAACTTTTTGGTTTGATGTAGTCCCAATAGTTTATATTTTTGCTCTTGCTTCCTTTGGCTGGGGAGACTTGCCCAGAAAAATATTGCTAAGGCTGATTTCCAAGAGATTACTGCCTATGTTATCTTTTAGGAATTTTGTGGTTTTGGGTCTTACACTTAAGTCTTTAATCCACTTTGAATTTATTATTGTGTATGGTATAAGAAAGTAGTCCAGTTTCATTCTTTTGCATGTAGCTGTCCAGTTTTCCCAACATTTATGAAAGGTACTGTCTTTTCCCCATTATGTATTCTTGCCTCCTTTGTTATAGATTAATTAACTATATAAGCATGAATTTATTTCTGGGCTATCAATCATGTTCCATTGATCTGTGTCTATTTTGTGCCAGTACCATATTGTTTTGATTACAATAGCTTTGTAGTAAATCTTGAAATCTGGAATTGTGATAGCTCCAACTTTGTTCTTTTTTCTCAATATTGCTTTGGCTATTTGGGGGTCTTTTGTGGTTCCATACAAATTTTAGGATCATTTGTTCTAGTTCTGTGAAAAATGCTATTGATATTTTGATAGGGATTTCATTAAATCTATAGGTTGGTTTCGGTAGTATGTACATTTTAACAATATTTGTTCTTCCAGTCCATGAACTTCATATATTTTTCCATTTATTTGTGTCATCTCTGATTTCTTTCATCAATGTCTTATAATTTTCAAAGTACAGGTCTCTCATCTCTGGTTAAATTTATTCCTAGATATTGTATTCTTTTTGATGCAATTGTAAATGGGACTATTTTCTTAATTTTTTTTTTTAAGATTTTATTTATTTATTTGAGAGAGAGAGAATGAGAGATAGAGAGCATGAGAGGGAAGAGGGTCAGAGGGAGAAGCAGACTCCCCGCTGAGCAGGGAGCCTGATGAGGGACTCGATCCCGGGACTCCAGGATCATGACCTGAGCCGAAGGCAGTCGCTTAACCAACTGAGCCACCCAGGTGCCCCTATTTTCTTAATTTCTCTTTTTGCTATCTCATTAGTAGTGTATAGAAACACAACAGATTTCTATATGTTGATTTTGTATCCTGCAACTTTACTGAATTCATTTATTAGTTCTAATAGTTTTTTTGTTTTTTGGGGGGGTGGAGTCTTTAGAGTTTCCTATATATAGTATCATGTCATCTGCAAATAGTGAAAATTTTACTTCTTGCTTGCCAAATTGAATGCCTTTTATTTCTTTTTCTTGCCTGATGACTAGGAACTCCAGTACTATGTTGATTAAAAGTGGTGAGAGTGGACATCCTTGTCTTTTTCCTGATCTTAGAGGAAAAGCTCTCAGTTTTTCACTGTTAAGTATGAGGTTAACTGTGGGTTTTTCATGTATGGCCTTTATTATGTTGAAGTATGTTTCCTCTAAATATACTTTGTTGAGAGATTTTTATCATAAATGGATGTTGAATATTGTCAAATGTTTTTTCTGCATCTATTGAGATGACTATATGATGTTTATCCTTCATTTTGTTAATATGATGCATCACACTGATTTGCATATATTAAACCATCTTTGTATCCCTGGAATAAATTCCACTTGATTGTGATGAATGACCCTTTTAATGTATTTTTGAATTCAGTTTGCTAATATTTTGTTGAGGATTTTTGCATCTATGCTCATCAGGGATATTGGTTTGTAATTTTCTTTTTTTATAGTATCTTTGGGTTTGGTATCAGAGTAATACTGGCCTCATAGCATGAATCTGGAAGCATTCCTTCCTCTTCTGTTTTTTGGAATAGTTTGAGAAGAATAGGTATTAGCTCTTTTTTAAATGTTTGGTAGAATTCACCTGTGAAGCCGTCTGGTCCCGGACTTTTGTTTGTTGGGAGTTTTTTTAAGTACTGATTCAATTTTGTTACTAGTAATTGGTCTGTTCAGAAATTCTATTTCTTCCTGATTCAGCCTTGGAAGATAGTATGTTTCTAGGAATTTATCCATTTCTTCTATGTTGTCCAATTTGTTGGCATATAATTTTTCATAATTTTTATAATCCTTTGTATTTCTCTGGTGTCACTTGTAACTTCTCTTTCATTTCTGATTTTATTGGAGTCTTCTCTCTTTTTCTCTTGATGAGCCTAGCTAAAGGTTTATCAGTTTTGTTTAACTTTTCAAAGAGCCAACTCTTAGTTTTACTGTTCCTTTCTAGTTTTTTAGTCTCTATTTCATTTATTTCCAGTCTGATCTGTATTACCTCCTTCCTTCTACTAACTTTAGGTTTTATTTTATTTTTCTAGTTCCTTTTTTTTTAAGATTTTATTTATTCATTTAGAGAGACAGCACATGCATGCACAAGTGGGAGCAGGAGCAGAGGGGGAGGGAGAGGGACAAGCAGACTCTGTATTGAGTATGGAGCCCCATGCAGGGCTCAATCTCATGACCCTGAGATCATGACCTGAGCTGAAACCAAGAGTGGGATGCTTAACCAACTGAGCCACCCAGGTGCCCTCTAGTTCCTTTACGTATGAGGTTAAATTGTTCATTTAAGATTTTTCTTTTTTCTTGAAGTACATCTGTATCACTATAAACTTCCCTCTTAAAAGAGCTTTAGCTGTGTTGCAAAGATTTTGAACTGTAGTGTTTCCATTTTCATTTGTCTGCAGGTATTTTTTTCATTTTCACTATGATTTCTCCAATGACCCATTGGTTGTTTAGAAAAATGTTGTTTAGCTTCCATGTTTTTGTGTTTCTTCTAGTTTTTTCCTGAAACTGACTTTTAAAGATTTTTATTTATTATTTATTTATTTATTTTTTGAGAGAGAGTGCATGCACACATGCATGAGCTGGGAGATGGGGAGGCCAGAGAGAGAATCTCAAGCAGGCTCCACATCCATCATGGAGTCCAATGTGGGGCTCGATCTCCTGACCCCAAGATCATGACCTGAGCCAAAACCAAGAGTTGGACGCTTAACCAACTGAGCCACCCAGGCCCCAATTTTTTTCATTTTTAAGTAATCTCTACACTGTACATGGGGCTCGAACTTACAACCATGAGATCAAGACTTGCATGCTCTACTGACTAGCCAGCCAGGTGTCCTTCCTGTAACTGATTTTTTTAGGGAGGGGAGGGGCAGAGGAAGAAGAGAGAGAATCCCAAGCAGGCTCCACGCCCAGCATGGAGCCCAGTGCAGGGCTCAATCTTACAACCCTGAGATCATGACCTGAGTGAGATTAAGAGTCGGATGCTTAACTGACTAAGCCACCCATGCACCACTTGAGTTTTTAATTTCATATTGCTGTGGTTGGAAAGATGCTTGATATGATTTCAATCTTCTTAAATTCATTGAGACTTTTTTGGCCTATCATGTGATCTGTTCTGGAGAATATTCCATGTGGGGTTCTGCTTCTTATCTAGATTTTACATTCCTGTCACAACCTAGGGAGCATAGTGCTAGGACTTGAGAAGGGCTTGAGAATGTATTTCTGAATTGTTAACTGAATAAATGTCATGTCCTCATAACAAACACGTGTCTTTTTTTGTGTGAGGCAGAGCAGGGTAGGGTGATTCAGTTAAAATCTAAATTGTCAATTAGGAACAATTTTGGTAAGATGCCCTTTCTTACCAAGTTGATCTATAGATTATACACAATACCAAGGAAAATCTCAGCAAGCTTTTTTGTAGAAATTGAAAAGCTGATTCTAAAATACATACAGAAATGTTAAGGATGTAGAATAGCCAAAACAACTTTAAAAAGGAAGAACAGAAGATGGAGGTGGAGTAGGAGGACCCTAGGCTCACCTCATCCCACAAATACAGCTAGATAACTGTCAAATCACCCTAAGTACTCCAGAAATTGACCTGAAGACTGACAGAACAAACTCCACAACTAAAGGGAGAGAAATGGCCACATCGAAAAAGAAAGTGCGGAGATGTGGCTTAGGGGAGAAAGAGATCACAGCTGCTGCAGGGGGAAGGGAGTCGTGATCGAAGAGAAGGGTGTGAGAGAGAGGAGCACAAGGGGAATGCACAAGGAGAACATTTCCCCATAGCCACTGGCTTGGAAAATGAAAGGGGCTGAATTTTCATGAGTTCCTGAAACCAGCAGGGCTTAAAGCCTGGAATTTTAAAGATCAGCAGGCTTGTCTGGGATAGAGCCTGGAGGGTCCTGAGCTGCTTCTGGAGAGAAGGCAGGCAAACAACACCAGACCATACAGCATGGCAACAATGATCTGAAGAGTGCCTGGGGCACACAGTGGGGAGATTATTTGCTCTTCTTGGAGTGTGTTCCTGAGAGGCAACATTCATGGAGATACCTCTCTGGGAACAAAGGAGATAGTTGGTGTCATTTCCCTCCTCTGCCCCTCAGCATAAACACAGAACCACCTGCAGGAAGCAATTCCAACACTGGCTGCCTAACTTGCTTACACCAAGCCCCAACCCCTGCACTCCAGTGGAACTACTCTTCTCAGGCACACTTGCCTCAGTCCCAGCTCACTGGGCCCCTCTCCCAGACCAGTACAAACCCTTGCCCACACCACATCTCCCAATCAGAGAGTTTTGCAGGGCCTTAGTTCTGGTGGAGGTGGTGACAGGTCTCATTTCACAAGCAGACCAGAGCACACTTAGTTAACACTTGCAACATTCAGGCCAGGGACCAAACACTGTTCACAGCAGGCAAGGAGAGCCTCTGTAGATGACTGGCCTGAAGGATAGAGCAGCCAGAACACAATAGCAGAATGCATGTGACACACACTGAAGATACTACCTGAAGCACCAGGCCCAGGGCACTACATGACCTCTTCTTTATAAGGCCATTATTTTCAGAAGCAGAAGATATAACTGTTTTTTCTAACATAGAGAAGAAGACAGAGCACCTAGACAAAATGCCAAGATGGAGGAATTCATCCCAAATGAAAGAACAAGATAAGGCCATGGCCAGAGATCTAAGCAAAACAGATATAGGTAACATGCCTGATAGAAAATTTAAAGAAATGATCATAAGGATACTCACTGGCCTTGAGAAAAGAATAGAAGACATCAGTGAGACCCTTACCACAAAGATAAAAGAGCTAAGAAAGAATCAATGAGAGATGAAGAGTGCAATAAATGAGATTAGAAACACGCTTGATGCAATGAAAGCAGGCTGAAAGAAGCAGAGAAATGAACTAATGAGCTAGAAGACAAACTAATGGAAAGCAAGGAAGATGAACAAATGAGGGGAAAAAAATTATGCAAAATGAGAATAGACTTAGGGAACTTAGTGACTCCATCAAATGTAATGACATTAATATTATAGGAGTCCCAGAAGAAGAAGAGAGAAGAAAGGGGGCAGAAAATTTATTTGAATAATAGCTGAAAACTTAACCTAATCTGGGGAAGGGGACAGACATCCAGATTGAGGAGACACAGAGAACTCCCATTAAAATCAACAAAAGCAGGCCAACACCAAGACATTTGGTAATTAAATTTGCAAAATATAGTGATAAAGGAAAAATCTTAAAAGCAGCAAAAGAAGTCATTAATTTATAAGGAAAAACCCATAAGGCTAGCTGGACATTTTTCAACAGAAACTTGGCATGCCAGAAGGGAGTGGCATGATATATTCAAAGTACTAAAAGGGGAAAATCTGCAGCCAAGAATATTCTATCCAGCAAGGCTATCATTCGTAATAGAAGGAGAGATAGTTTCCTAGACAAACAAAAACTAAAGGAGCTTGTGACCACTAAACCAACCCTGCAAGAAATATTAAAGGGGACCCTTTAAGTGGAAAGGAGAGACAAAAAGTAACAATATAAAGCCAGGAAACACAAAATCAGTAAAAATGAATATTTCTGTAAAAATCAGTCAAGGAACTCACACACAAAGAAGAATATAAAATATAATAACATATGCCTAAAACATGGGTAGGAGAGGAGAAAAGAATGGGTTCAAACTTGAACAACCATTAACTTAATATAGACTGCTATTTGCAAAGAGGTTATATACAAACCTAATGGTCACCATATATAAAAAAAAACACTAATAAACATGCAAAGAATAAAGAGAAATAAATCCAAATATATCACTAAAGAAAATCAGCAAAACATGAAAGACAGAAAGATATGCAAGCATCAGAGAAAAACTCCAGAAACAACCACAAAACAAGCAATAAAATGGCAATAAATACGTATCTATCAATAATTACTGTGAATGTAAATGGACTAAATGCTCCAATCAAAAGATATAAGGTGTCAGAATGGATTAAAAAAAAAAAAAAACCTATCTATATGTTGCCTACAAGAGACTCATTTTAGACCTAAAGACACATGCAGATTGAAAGTGAGGGGTTGGAAAAACATGTATCATGCAAATGGATGTCAAAAGAAATCTGGAGAAGCAATACTTATATTGGACAAACGGTACTTTACTTGTTTTTTAAGTAGGCTCCACGCCCAGTGTGGAGCCCAGTGCAGGGCTTGAGCTCATGACCCTGAGATCAAGACCTGAGCTGAGATCAAGAGTCAGGTGCTTAACTAACTGAGCCACCCGGGTGACCCGGACAAACTGGACTTTAAAACAAAGACTGTAACAAGAGACAAAGAGAGGCACTATATAATAATAAAGGGGACAATCCAAGAAGATAAAACAATTATAAATATTTATGCACCCAACATGGGAACACCCAAATATATAAAACAACAACAAACATAAAGGAAATAACAATAATAATACAACAATAGTAGGAGACATTAACACCCCACTTACATCAATGGGCAGATCATCTAAACAGAAAATCAAAAAGTAAACAATGGCTTTGAATGACACACTGGACCAGGTGGACTTAACAAATATATTCAGAACATTCCATCCTAAAACAGCAGACTATACATTCTTTCTAAGTGCACATTCTCCAGAATAGATCACATATTAGGTCACAAACAGGCTTCAACAAATGCAAAAAGAATGAAGTCATACCATACACCTTTTCTGACCACAATGCTATGAACCTAGAAGTCAACCACAGAAAAAATCTGGAAAGACCACAAATACACACAGGTTAAACAACATACCACTAAACAATGAATGAGTCCACCAGGAAATCGAAGAAGAAATTAAAAAAAAAAACAAAAAACACACCTGGAGACAAATGAAAATGAAAACACAACAGTCCAGCACTTTGGGGTACAGCAAAAGTGGTCCTAAGAGTGAAGTAATAGCAATATAAGCCTACTTCAAGAAGCAAGAAAAATCTTAAATAACCTAATCTTACACCTAAAGGAGCTAGAAAAAGAACAACCGAAGCCTAAAGCCAGCAGAAAGAAGGAAATAATAAAGATTAGAGCAGAAATAAATGGTATAGAAACTAAAAATCAGATCAATGAAACCAGGAGCTGGTTCTTTGAAAAAATTAATTGATAAACCTCTAGCCAGACTTACCAAGAGAAAGGAGAAAGGACCCAAATATATAAAATCACAAATGAAATAGGAGAAATAACAACCAATACCACAGAATACAAACAATTATAAGAGAATATTATGAAAAACTATATGCCAACAAATTGGACTACCTACAAGAAATGGATAAATTTCTAGAAACATATAAATGACCAAAACTGAAATAGGAAGAAATAGAAAACTTGAACAGACCAATAACCAGCAAAGAAATTGAATCAGTAATCAAAAACTCCTAACAAAAAAAGTCCAGGACCAGATAGCTTGACAGCTATCTGCAGAATTCGCCAAACATTTAAAGAAGAGTTAATACAAATTTTTCTCAAACTATTCCAAAAAATAAAAGAGGAAGGAAAGCTTCCCAATTCATTCTATGAGGCCAGCATTACCCTGATACTAAAACCAGATAAAGATACCACACACACACACACACACACACACACACACACACACACACACACACAAAAGAGAACTACAGACCAATATCTCTGATGAGCATAGATGCAAAGATCCTCAACAAAATATTAGCAAACCAAATCTAACAATACATTAAAAGAATCATTCACCATGATAAAGTGGGATTTATTCCTGGGTTGCAAGGGTGGTACAGTATTCACAAGTCAATCAACATGATATATCACCTTAATAAAAGAAAGGATAAGAACCATATGATCAGTCCAATAGATGCAGAAAAAGCATTTGACAAAGTACAACATCCATTCATAATAAAAACCCTCAACAAAGCAGGGATAGAGGGAACATACCCCAACATAATAAAGGCCATATGCGGGGCGCCTAGGTGGCTCAGTTGTTAAGCGTCTGCCTTCAGCTCGGGTCATGATCCCAGCTCCTGGGATCGAGCCCCGCATCAGGCTTCCTGTTCGGCGGGAAGCCTGCTTCTCCCTCTCCCACTCCCCCTGCTTGTGTTCCTTCTCTCGTTGTGTCTCTCTCTGTCAAATAAATAAATAAAATCCTCTAAATAAATAAATAAAGACCATATGTGAAAAACCCACAGCTAATATCATCCTAAATGGGGAAAAATTGAGAGCTTTTCTTCTACGGTCAGGACAAGACAGGGATGTCCACTCTCACCACTTTTATTCAAACTAGTACTGGAAGTCCTAGCTACAGCAATCAGACAACAGAAAGAAGTAAAAGTCATCCAAATAGGCAAGAAAGAAGTCAAACTTTCACTATTTATAGATGACATGATACTATATATATAGGAAACATAAAGCCTCCACCAAAAAATAATGCTAGAAACTAATTAATGAATTCAGTAAAGTCACAGAATACAAAATCAATATATGGAAGTCTGTTGCATTTCTTTTTCTTTTTTCTCTCTTTTTTAAAATTTAAATTCAATTAGCCAACACATATTACATCATTAGTTTCAGATGTAGTGTTCAACAATTCATCAGTTTCATATAACACCCAGTGCTCATCACATCATGTGCCTTCCTTAATGCCCATCACCCAGTTACCCCATCCGCCAACCCACCTCCCCTTCATCAACTCTCAGTTTGTTTCCCATAGTTAAGAGTCTCTCATGGTTTGTCTCCCTTTCTCATTTCTTCCCATTCAGTTTTCCCTCCCTTCCCTTATGGTCCTCTGCACTGTTTCTTACATTCCACATATGAGTGAAACCATATGATAATTGTCTTTGTCCAGCTGACTTATTTCATTTAGCATAATACCCTTATGTTCCATCCATGTCGATGCAAATGGTAAGTATTCATCCTTTCGGATGGCTGAGTAATATTCCATAATATATATATTCCATAATATGTATATGTATGTATATATATATACCATAATATCCTTTCATCTGTTGAAGGACATCTCGGCTCTTTCCACAGTTTGGCTATTGTTGACATTGCTTCTATAAACATTGGGATGCAGGTGCCCTTTGGGTCACTATGTTTGTATCCTTTGGGTAAATACCTAGCAGTGCAATTGCTAGGTCATAGGGTAGCTCTATTTTTAACTTTTTGAGGAACCTCCATACTGTTTTCCAGAGTGGCTGCACCAGCTTGCATTCCCACCAACAGCATAAGAGGGTTTCCCTTTCTCTGCAGCCTCACCAACACCTGTTGTTTCCTGACTTGTTAATTTTAGCTATTCTGACTGGTGTGAGGTGGTATCTCATCGTGGTTTTGATTTGGATCTCCCTGATGCTGAGTGATGTTGAGCATTTTTTCATGTGTCTGTTGGCCATTTGTATGTCTTCTTTGGAGAAATGTCTGTTCATGTCTTCTGCCCATTTCTTAACTGGATTTTTTGTTATTTTGGGGTGTTGTGTTTGGTAAGTTCTTTATAGATTTTAGATACTAGCCCCTTGTCAGATATGTCATTTGCAAATATTTTCTCCCATTCCGTAGGTTGCCTTTTAGTTTCGTTGACTATTTCCTTTGCTGTGCAAAAGCTTTTTATCTTGATGAAGTCCCAGTAGTTTATTTTTGCTTTTCTTTCCTTTGCCTTTGGAGACACGTCTAGCAAGAAGTTGCTGTGTGGCATTTCTATACACCAATAATGAAGCAGCAGAAAGAGAAATCAAGGAATCAATGCCATTTACAGTTGCACCAAAACCACCAAGAGGTGAAAGACCTATACTCTGAAAACTATAAAACACTGATGAAAGAAATGGAAGATGACACAAATAAATGGAAAGACATTCCATGCTCGTGGATTGGAGGCACATATATGGTTAAAATGTCCATACTACCCAAAGCAATCTACACACTTAATGCAATCCCTATCAAAATACCACCAGCATTTTTCAGAGCTAGAAAAAACAATTCTAAAGTTTTGTATGGAACCACAAAAGATGCTGAATAGCCAAAGCAATCTTGAAAAAGAAAAGCAAAACTGGAGACATCACACTTCCAGACTTCAAGTTATATTACAAAGCTATAGTAATCAAAACAATATGGTCCTGGCACAAAAATAGACACATAGATCAATAGAACAAAACAGAAACCCAGAAATGAACACACAAATATATTGTCAATTAATCTTTGACAAAGCAGGTAAGAATATCCAATGAGAAAGACTGTCTCATCACCAAATGGTGTTGGGGAAACTGACAGCAACATGCAAAAGAATGAAACTGGACCACTTTCTTATATCATACACAAAAATAAACTCAAAATGGATTAAGGACTTAAATGTGAGACCTGAAACCATAAAAATCCTAGAAGAGAGCACAGGCAGTACTTCTTTGACATCAGCCACAGCAATTTCTTTCTACATGTTCCTTGAAGCAAGGGAAACAAAAGCAAATATAAACTATTGCGACTACATCAAAATAAAAAGCCTTTACACAGCAAAGGAACAACCAACAAAACTAAAAGGCAACCTACGGAATGGGAGAAAATATTTGTAAATGACACATCTGATAAAGGGTTAATATCCAAAATACATAAAGAACTTCTAAAACTGAACACCCAAAAAACAATAAAAAAATGGGCAGAAGACAAGAATAGACATTTTTTCCAAAGAAGACATCTGATGGCCAACAGACACATGAAAAGATGCTCAACATCACTCATCATCGGGGAAATGCAAATCAAGACTACAGCTGTCAGAATGGCTAAAATCAACAACACAATGAACAGCAGGTATTGGCGGGGATGTGGAGAAAGGGGAACCCTCTTGCACTGTTGGTGGGAATGCAAACTGGTGTAGCCATTCTGGAAAACAGTATGCAGGTTCCTCAGAAAATTAAAAATAGAACTACCCTATGACTCACAAACTGCACTACTAGGTATTTACCCAAAGGATACAAAAGTACAGATTGGAAGGGTACATGCACCCCGATGTTTACAGCAGCATTATCAACAATAGTCAAACTATGGAGAGAGCCCAACTGTCCATCAACTGATGAATGGATAAAGAGGAGGAAGTATATATACACAATGGAATATTACTCAGCCATAAAAAAGAATAAAATCTTGCCAGTTGCAAGGACATGGATGGAGCTAGAGAGTATAATGCTAAGGGAAATAAGTTAATCAGAGAGAGACAAATATAATTTGTCATATAATTTCACTCATATATGGAATTTCACTCATATGTGGAATTTAAGAAACAAAACAAATGAGCAAGGAGGAAAAGGGGGGGCGGGGCAAACGAAGAAACAGACTCTTAACTACAGAGAACAAAGTGATGGTTACCAAAGGGGAAGTGGGGGGAAATGAGTTAAATAGGTGATGGGGATTAAGGAGTGCACTTGTGGTGACGAGCACCAGCTGTTGCATGTAAGTGTTGAATCACTAGATTGTACACCTGAAACTAATATTACACTGTATGTTAACTAACTGGAATTTAAATAAATAAATTTTTAAAAAGGAAGAGCAAAGTTGAAGGATTTGATTTTAAGGCTTATTATAAAGCTACAGGAATCAAGATACTAAGGTATTGATGTCAGGATAGACAAATAGATCAATGGAACAGAATAGAGCATCCAGAAATTGATGCACTTATATAAATAGTCAATTGGAGAAATGGTAATGGAATAACAGGACACTAATAAACAAAAAACTGAACTTTGATCCACATTTCACACCATATACCAAAACAAGCAAACAAAAATCTCAAAATGGATTAGAGACCTAACTGTAAAACTATAGAGAAAATCTTTGTGACTTTAGACAAAGATTTCTTAGGCACACACCAAAAATATAATCCATAATTTTTTTAAAATTTGGATTTCATCAAAATTGAAATCTTCTGTTTTTCAAAAGACACTCTTTTTTAAAAAAAATTAAGTAGGCTCCATGCCCAACATGGGGCTTGAACTCACCAATCCTGAAAGACACTGAGATTGAGCCAGCATGGCTCCCCCAATAGATACTCTTAAGAGTATGAAAAGATAAGCCATACACTGAAAGAAAATATTTGCAAAGCATAAATCTAACAAAGGATTTTTATCTAGGGTATATAAAAATGAACCTCTCAAAACTTAATAATAAGAAAACAATGAGCAAAAGATTTGAATGGACACTTCATCGACGAAAGATATATGGATAGCAAGGAAGCACATGAAAAGATGCTTAACCATTAGTCACTAGGAAAAAGCGAATTAAAACCTCAATAACATACTATTCCACAACTATTATAAGGCTGGCTTAAAAGCAAAAGACTGACAACATCAAGTTTGGGTGAGGAATGTGGAGCCAAGTGAAACTCCCATGCGCTGCTGTGGAAATAAAAATGATATTACCAATTTGGAAATTAGCAATTTCTTAAAAAGGTAAACATGTACCTGCCATATGGCCTAACCATTACACTCTTTGGTGATTACCCAAGAGAAACAAAAACACATGTCCACAAGAACACTTATACTTGAACGTTAATAGCAGCATTATTCAAAATAGCCCAAGACTAACAGAGAAAGTCAATTATCATATGGTTTCACTAATTTGTGGAACATAAGGAGTAGCATGGAGGACATTAGGAGAAGGAAGGGAAAAATGAAGGAAGGGAAAAATGAAGGGAGGGAAATCGGAAGGAGAGATGAACCATGAGAGACTATGGACTCCGAGAAACAAACTGAGGGTTTCAGAGGGGAGGGGGGTGGAGGGATGGGTGAGCCTGGTGATGGGTATTAAGGAGGGCACGTACTGCATGGAGCACTGGGTGTTATGCACAAACAATGAATCATGGATCACTACATCAAAAACTAATGATGTATTATATGGTGACTAACATAACATAATAAAATAATCCAAGAAAGTGGAAATATTCATTAACAGGTAAAAGGATACAGAAATTGGGATATATTCAAACAATGGAATACTATACCTCACTTAAAAGGAATGTGCTATTGTTACACAAAGCAACATGAATTAATCTCAAAATAATTATGCTGAGTGAGAGAAACCAGACCAAAGTACATGCTGTATGATTCTCTTTATGGAATGATAGAAAATTCAAACTATCTATAGTGACAGAAAGAAGATCAGTGACCACCTGGGAAGCAGTGGGGGATAAGGGAAGGGCAGGAGAAAGGTAATACAAAGGAGAATTTGGAAACTTTTGGGGGCGATAGATGTGTTCATTATCTTGACTGTGGTGATGGCTTCCCAGGTGTATACATGTATCAAAACATCAAATTGCATGCTTTAAATATGTGCACTTTACTATGTTAATTACACATCAATAAAGTTGTTTTAAAAATTATAGTTTGGGGTGCCTGGGTGGCTTAGTTGGTTAAACATCCAACTCTTGGTTTCGGCTCAGGTCATGATCTCAGGGTCCTGGGACTGCGCCCTGCATCGGGCTCTGTGCCCAGTGCAGAGTCTGCTTATCCCTTTCCTTCTGCTCCTCCTCCTGCTCTCTCTCGCTCTCTTTCTCTCTCTCAAATAAATAAATAAAATCTTTAAAAAAAATCGTTTAAGGCCTCTGTCCAGAAACTTTAATAAGCTAAAATTCATATTCCAAGGCATTAACCCTAACTACCCTAATTCCACAGCTCTAGGATAGGACCCAGGTATCTACATTTGTAACAAGCCCTTCAAGTAATTCTAATGCAGGCTATCCCTAAAACAGCCTTTGTGAAACTATGGTAAGGATTTCTAGAACAATCTTGTGACAAGAATGTTGCTTCTGGGGAAAACAAGTAACTTTTTCTTCTGGGGTTGTTACATCTTCCTGTGATATGCCTCCAGAGCATTCCTGGTCAATTACCTTAACATATATTTAGCACAGTATTAATAGTTCAAGAGTAAATCATAGTTTTTCCCCATCTTACCTTTATATAAATTAAAATAAACTATACAATGTAGTTATTATTTCTTGGCAAAGGCCAATAGTTTAAGTAAGGAACTTACATCACTTGGTTGTTGTGACAGAAAACTGATGTGATGGTTTTCTAGTCACAGTCTTAGTTTATCTTTTTCCTCATCTTGTCATGCATACCCACCCTTGCATCCTCCTGTCCAACTAATGGTCAGAGAAGACACAAAAAGAATGTGAAATGGTTGCATTCCTGATAAGTCTCTGAGGACAAAGTTTATCTTTTCATATTTACATAACTTACCTTACCAAACACACAAATCATTGTCAGTATAAATGATAGGAGATCGATTTTCCATGTGAGACTAGCATTTCTCAGCCCTCACAACATTACCTGAAGGAAATATCTGAATTCAACTGATGCAGCTTGCAGATTTTCCTACCAAATATCCCTGCTGCTATGAGGATCAACTGAAAAAACAAATGTGAAAGAGCAAAGCCTACTCAAAGATGATTCTTAATTATTAAAAGGAGTACAGCAAGTGATACCTGTGAAAATGGTGCAGAAAAAAAAAAAAACAACCTTAAAAAATTCTCTGCTCCATGAAAACATAGAAAAAAACTGGCAAAAATAGTCAGAAACAACATTTTCAGAACACTAGAAATTAAACAAAGGCTTACAGTAACTAGGAGAACATTTATTCAAGAGAAATGGCTGAATCTTAGTATGAACAGTGAGCTTTGTGGTGTTTTAGCTGCTCTGTTCCCAACCTACCCCTCCTTCTTGATGACAGCCTTGGAAATCAACAGCCAGAGATCATGGTGAAAATTAGCAGTCTGGCAGCCATAGGAGGGGGCAGAACAGGGTTAGAGTTCATTCAAAGTCTCATTCCCAGAGAACTGTCATTATTTGACTTGTTTGGGGGTTCCTTGGAACACCCTGCTTATACGTCTGTCTTTATTAGACCTATTCACACCTAGCACAGCATGAAAAACCTTTTCCTCAGGGGCATTTGTAGAAAATTACTAGAGGCAATTGTTTAACTTCTTGGCTGCCCGAGGCATCGGATAACAGCTGGGGCAAAAATAGGCTAATTGAAAGTTTAAAAGGAAAAGCTTGGGAATGAGATGTCCATCGTGGCTTTGAAAAGCTCCCAAATATTCCTGAGAATCTAGAAGACCATATACAAATGCCCAAGTCTGTGTGCATGTTCAGGACAAATCTGTGAAGGCTTTATGCTCTCATCTCTGGTGGGGAGATATCTCAGGGCTCTGCACAAACAGGAAGTGAAGGCTAAGGCGGAATTGTCACCTGCTTGGCTGTGTGTTGAAGGTGTGTTGAAAGTACACCCCAATATCCACACAGAGCTCCTGGCAAAGACTGGAAAAATTATTAAACAAACAAACAATAACAAAACAACAAACAATACCAACAAAAACCACTGGAGCTGGAGGAGACTCTGATTTCTAAAATCACCACATTATGTTATTAAATGTCCAGTTTTCAACAGAAACATTGTAAACCATGTAAAGAAACAAGAAAGCATGACCCATACATAGAAAAAAGAAAAAAAAAAATCAAGAGAAACTGTCCCTGAAGCCAAGATAATTAGACTTCTTAGACCAAGACTTTAAAATCAACTATTAAAAAACTGTTCAAAGAATTAAAAGAAACCATAAAAAAGGAACTAAAGGAAAGTATCAGAACATGCTCTCATCAAATTGAGAAAATAGAGAGAAAATATATTTGAAAGGGCCAATAGAAATTCTGGGTTGAAAAGTATAATAAACTAGAGTGGCTCAAAGGCAAATTTGAGCAGGCACAAGAGAGTCAGGAAACTTAGATATAGGTCAATTGAAACTAACCAGTTTGAGGAAGAGAAAGAAAAAGAATGAACAAGAATTTGCAGAGCCATAAAGACCTGTAGGACTCCATCGAGCACACCAACATACACAGAATGGGAATTCCAGAAGAAGACAGAAACAAAGGGGCTGAAAGAATACTTAAATCAATGGCTGAAGACTTCCTAAATTTGATGAAAAACACTAATCTCCACATCCAAATGATCTATTTACAAACTCCAACAAATATAAATTCAAAGAGGTCTACACTTAGACATATCAGTCAAACTGTCAAAACATAAAGGATCTGAAAGCAGCAAGAGAAAAGCAATTTGTCACATGCAAGACATTTTTTAAAAATTTTATCTCTGGGGCGCCTGGGTGGCTCAGTTGGTTAAGCGACTGCCTTCGGCTCAGGTCATGATCCTGGAGTCCCGGGATCGAGTCCCGCATCGGGCTTCCTGCTCGGCAGGGAGTCTGCTTCTCCCTCTGACCCTCTTCCCTCTCATGCTCTCTATCTCTCATTCTCTCTCTCTCAAATAAATAAATAAAATCTTTAAAAAAAAAAAAAAAATTTTATCTCTGATTTTTACATATATATATATATCTGATCTATCTATATCTATCTATCTATCTATCTATCTATCTATCTATCTATCTATCTTATTTTTTTAGAAAGAGAGTGTGTATACACATCCTGGGGGAAGGGGCAGAGGGAAAGGGAGAGAGAATCCCAAGCAGGCTCCATGCCCAGCACAGAGCCCAATGCAGGGATTGATCTCACAACCCTGAGATCATGACCTGAGAGGAAATCAAGAGTCGGACACTTAACCGACTGAGCCACCCAGGCACTCCAGGACATTTTCAATAAGATTAATAGTTGATTTCTTATCAGAAACTATGGAGGCCACAAAACAGTACATGACATATTCAAAATGCTTAAAGAAAATGACTGGCAACCAAGAATTCTATATCTATGGCCAGTTGATTTTCAACAAGGGTGCTGTCTTAGTTCAGGCTGCTGTAACAAAGTACCACAGACTGGGCAGCTTATATACAACAGAAATTTATTTCTCACAGTTCTGGAGGCTTGGAAGTCTGAGATCACAGTGCCAGCATGGTTGAGTTCTGGTGAAGATCCTCTTCTGGGCTGCAGATTGATGACTTCTCATTATATCCTCACATAGCAGAGAGTAGACAGAGGAAGCAAGTTCTCTCATGGCACTTATAAGGGCATTAATCCTATTCATGATGGCTCAACTCTTATAATTTCATCTACTCCTAATTACCTCCCAAAGTCTTCATTTTCTCATACCATTGGGTAAAGTTCTAACATGAATTTTAGGGGAACACAAACATTGTTATGGCACTTGAGTCCCTAACAAGTGCCAAGACCATTCAGTGGAGAATAGAATAGTCTTTTTAACAAATGGTTCAGGAACAACAGGCTATATATACACAGGTGGAAAAATAAACTTAGATCCCTAATTCACACCTTATACAAAAATTAACTCAAAATGGATCAAAGAGTTAAAACTAAATTTTTAGAAGGGAGCACAGGTGTAAATCTTGGATTAGGCAATGGTTTCTTAGATATGACACCAAAACACAAGCAACTAAAGAAAAAATAGATAAATTAGACTTCATCAAAATTAAAAACTTTTGTGCTTCAAAAGACATCATCAAGAAAATGAAAAGACAGTCCACAGAATGGGAAAAAATACTTGTAAATCATATATTTGATAAGAATCTAGTACCCAGAATATATAAATAATTTTTACAACCATAAGAAGGCAAATAACCTAATTAAAAAATGAGTAAAGAAGTTGTATAGACATCTCTTCAAAGGAAATACACAAATGGCCAATAAGCACATGAAAAGATGCTCAATATCACTAGCATTAGGGAAATGCAAATCAAAAGCACAATGAGCTACCATTTCACACCTACTGGGGTAGGAAGAAGAAGAAGAAGAAGGAGGAGGAGGAAGAGGAGGAGACAACAATCACAAGTGTCAGGGAGGGGAGAAGATGGAATACTTATACACTGCCAGTGCGAACAAGAAATGGTGCTAGTACTTTAGAAAATAATTTGGAAGTTCCTCAGAAAATTAACATAGGTTTACCATTTGGCCCAGCAATTATTTATATACATACATATTTTTTCAGAGGGTCACACAAAAACTTGTACACAAATTCCCATAGCAGCATTATTCACAATACCCCCAAAATGGAAACCACCCAAATCTCCAACAACTTATGAATGGATAAACAAATATGCTATATCCATACAATGCACTATATTTTGGCCATGGAAAGGAATGAAGTACTGAGACATGCCACAACATGGATGAACACTGAAAAAATTATGCCGAGTGAAAGAAACTAGACAGAAAGTGCCATATTTTATATGATTCCATTTATGTAAAATGTCCAGAATAAGAAAATCCATACAGATAGAAAGTAGAGTAGTGGTTGCCAGGGGCAGAGGGGAGGAGGGAAAAGATGGGGAATGACTGGTAATGGGTACTGGCTTTTTTTGCTGGGGAGGGTGATGAAAATGTTCTGGTGATGGCTGCACAGCCTTGTAACTAGACTAACACCCATGGAATTGCACACTTTAGGAGAGTGCATTTTATGGCAAGTTAATTCTATCTCAGCTTTAAAAAAAGCAATACAGCTTCTGAAAGTAGTATTGGCCACTTAAATCCCCACGAACATAATCTTGGGTGGCTTTTGGGGTGGGAGTTGGGGTTCAGAAAGTTGATCTTGGCATTTAGGTATGTGGGGGAAAACAGTTGAATGGGACACATCCACACACAACCACAAAAAAAACCCCACACAACTTAAAGCAAGCACAGGTGCTTCCAGGTACCATGAAAATGGGGACCACGATTATTTTCCTGGCAAACCATTTCCTTTAACAATATCCCCAATGTGCATACCCACCACAAATTTGGAATCAGTATAACTCTCCAGACTAAAGTTAGCAAGTAACCTTACCTTTGATATTGTTTTGTTGTTCCAGCAGTAATTTATTTATTTCTGAAAACCAACAATCTCTGATTTCTTTTGAAGCTGCCTGCAAGTTGCAGATAAGAAGATACTATGAGCATCAGAGCACCTGGAGCATTAACTGGACAGGGTTTTTATTCTCTGGGTGACCTCTAGAATAATGAGATGGAAAACACTTGCCAAGTCATGGGAACACAGGAAAGAGTAGCAGACACCCATGGGGAAGACGGGAGCTTTACCTGCAGGATGTATTTCTCGAGTCCATTTCGGTTGGCAATTTCAAACTTTCGGCTGCTCCCCCTTCCAAGATGGCGAATTGAAAGTGTCATCAACTATTGTAAAGAAAGAAGAAAAATTGCTGTACTACCATTTTCTGATTTTAAAATTGTCCCTGTCAGCCACTCTGGTTCTTTCTACCCTTGATAGGTCTTTTCTTCCATCTTCCTTCCATGTATTTTGTTGTCCTCTGTTAATGGTCCCAGGGAGCATAAAGCACAAGCACAGTGTGGCACAGTGTCATCTGTCCTCTCTCTTTCAGGGGACAACACAGACTGCATCTTTCCGTATGTAGGGCTGGAGCCCTCAACCTTTAAGCAAAGAGATCATCTCCTCTTTAACACCTAACTATTTCACAAATCTGTACATAATAGTAACTGAATTAGTATCCATTAAGAAACATAAATAACAAAAGCTACCATAAGTAATTAACAACTTTAATCACAAGAGCACAAATGTGTGTGTATGTGTGTGCATGTATGCACATGTGTGCAGTATGTGTGTGTGGTGGTGTGGGGGTGGTCTCATCTCCACCTATGAAATAATTCCTACACAGGCTAGAGATGATGTTTGGTGTGGACATGGGTTTCTAGACCTCCAGAGTCTTTGCCAACGCTAGTATGCAAAGATGTGTGGTTGAGAAGGACAGGTAGGAGATGAAATCCAGCCCATGTGCTAATCACCAAATCTTTCACCCCTCTGCCTGCAGGGTACTTTCCTAATTCATTTGTCAGGACAGCTGCCATATGGTCCCTGTTCTCTACCTAGCACAAAGGCACCTCTATGCCGGCCCCGGCCCGGTCCAGTGACTGATTACAAGCTGACTTTGGAGTTAGAAAGGCCTGGGTGCAGAGTCTAGTTCTGTTGTGTGGCATTTGGCAAGTTAACCTCTCCTCTCTAGGCTTCAGTTTCCTTCTCTGTAAAATAAGGATAATGATTTTTCTCTCCCTAGGGCCATGCTACTTCTCAAGTGCAACAGGACCCTTTACCTTCATAGATTTCTTAAAGCTGTAATGAGGAGCGAGGCCCTGGTCACTGGGTTCCATTCGAATCTTACAGAACACGATTCCCCTTTCAAATAGATAGATTTGCCTCTGGCTGGGCTTAAATCGGATAAAATCCTTCATCTTATAACGATCCTTGTGAACTGTCCAGACGTTGAAAGAGCCATGCATCAACAGCTTGCCCAGTTTCCTGATATCGTCCTTTGGGGAAGATAGACATACATAAAAAGAAGCTGTTACATTACTTGACAGGGAAAGAACTCTTAAGGGTCTGTTTTCAAATTATAAAGTATGCTTATTTGAAGTTGACGATTTAAAAAGTGCCAAACAGACTCATCTGTCACTAAATCAAAACTATAATTTTGTGAGCTTCACTGAGCATGACACCATTCAGTTATGTAGGTCTGCGCAAGGTAATAAACACAAAGCATGTTAGAAATACTTGAACTAAAGATACTGGTACTCTGACATTTTTGTCTTTGTAATTAATTTTAGCTAGCAGAATTCTATTTCCCCTTCTTGGTTTTTGATACATGACAGTCTAGAAGGGCAAAAAATTAACATTTAGGAATGTTCAGGAGAGACAGAATTTTTGCTGCATTATGGACCTAATTCCATAATCATCCATGAGCTCCTTCTGCATCCCAACATCTGCTTTGGTTCTCATGAGAACATGAGATTTGTTCTGCAAGCAAAAAAGCTTCATATAACCTAATCTTCATAACGTTGTAATGAAAATAACAATGACATTCAACTTTGCATTTCTCAGAGTAAGTGGACAGGGCAAAGATAATCCCAAACGACAAAATTTTTCAGAAAGTCTACTTGGCTTCAGGGCACATTTTATGCCTATCCCTCCACCAGCAAACCCATCTTTCTCATATGTCTGGTTAAAAGTTCAAATGAGTGACCCTGCCTTCTCTGAGCTCTCTCCAAAGGGTAATGGGGTGAGATGAGCTAAGAACGTTGTATTTTATCTGGTATTTTTTAAAAATTAGATCACTTGAAGCAGATAATCAAGAATTTATTTCCCTAAAGGAAAAGGCCAAAAGGAGAAATTTATTTGAACAGGACTAGGACAGAGAAATTTCTCTGAGTTATGTCTAGCTGAAATAAATCCCTACAATTTCTGAGTTAATACTAGAAATATATACATTATTTATAATTGGGCATTTTAATAACTTATTGCTTATATTGAACAAATGGAATATTATTAAAAAATAATTCATTGCACTTCTGAAATTCTAAAATAAAAATTTCAAGAGCATAAACTCTACTCATTTCTATGGTGCTTGCATATTTTCTGTGCTATTTTTCTCTTTATGCTTTGTAAAATTTATATGTGTAAACTGTGGTGAATGAACCTCTCAGTGAGGAATAAAGAGCCCCCAGCCATAACGACTGCTCTCCTAAAAGCATGATACTCCTGCTTTAGTTGCACAGGCTCAGCTTGACCATGCTCTGAGACAGATGGGTGATGGGTTCATGAGGACCCTTGAGAAGTTCTTCACTTTATCCACATCCTTCCAGGAGCTACTCTGGCTCTCAGTGATTGCATTCCCTTTTAAACCCATTCCATTTCTACTATATAGACATAAATAATGCAGGAAATTTGTTTTCGTCAAGGCGACTGGCAAAAGTTGTTGCTTAATGTTTGCCACATAAACTACAATCAGTAGTTTCTATTTTATCTTTTAAAGATTTATTTATTTGAGAGAGAGAGAGAATGAGTGGGAGGGACAGAGGGAGAGAGAATTTCAAGCAGACTCTGCTCTGAGCACAGAGCACAATGCGGGGCTTGATCCCACGACACTTAGATCATGACCTGAGCCAAAACCGAGAGTCCGAAGCTTCACCGACTGCATAGTTTTTATTTTAAAATGTACTTATACTCCACCTCATTTCAAAAATTTGATCTCTCTTATAAAAATATATACATTATAAGCAAACAGAAAATAACCAATGTACTTAGGGTGAAAAAAGATTAAAAAAAATAAGATGAAGAGGTTGTATATAAAACCCATATAATAAAGCTATGTAAACCTACTGCAGAGTAGGCTAGGACCTTCTAGTGGGCACTACAGAGGGAGACACAGGGAGTCGTATGATACATTATGTTCAAAGACATACCTAAACCAATTGTTCAGAAAATGTACCGCAATTCCTATTAATAGGACATGAGAGAAATTTCTCCCATGGGTCCTTGTCCTCATAAAGAGTCACTGAGTCAAATACTGAGCCTGTCCTTAGCCACATCCAAGAATAGCTAAACAAATGGATTTTAGGTAAAGCTGTTCCTGACAACACATTTGGTGAATGTGGAGGCATCACTTCAAAGCACAGCTGTTAAAAGCAATTCTAAAAGAAGCCAGAATAGAGAACCCAGAAATGGACCTTCACCTCTGTGGTCAACTAATCTTTGACAAGGCAGGAAAGAATATCCAATGGGAAAAAGACAGACTCTTCAACAAATGGTGTTGGGAAAATTGGACAGCCACTTGCAGAAGAATGAAACTGGACCATTTGCTTACACCATACAAAAAATAGACTCAAAATGGATGAAAGACCTAAATGTGAGACAGTAATCCATCAAAATCCTTGAGGAGAACACAGGCAGCAAACTCTGTGACTTCGTGCAAGATACATCTCCAAAGGCAAGGGAAACAAAGGCAAAAATAAACTATTGGGACTCCATCAAGTTAAAAAACTTTTGCACAGCAAAGGAAATAGTTGAGAAAACCAAAAGACAACCTACAGAAGGGAGAAGATATTTGCAAATGACACATCAGATAAAGGGCTAGTATCCAAAATCTATAAAGAACTTATCAAACTCCACATCCAAAGAACAAAGAATCCAGTCAAGAAACAGGCAGAAGACATGAACAGACATTTCTCCAAAGAAGACATAAAAATGGCCTACAGACACATGAAAAAATGTTCAACATCACTTCTCATCAGGAAAATACAAATCAAAACAACAATGAGATACCACCTCACATTAGTCAGAATGGCTAAAATTAACAAGTCAGGAAACGACAGATGTTGGTGAGGATACGGAGAAAGGGGAACACTCCTACACTGTTGGTGGGAATGCAAGCTGGTACAGCCACTCTGGAAAATAGTATGGAGGGTCCTCAAGAAGTTGAAAATAGAGCTACCCTATGACCTAGCAATTGCACTACTAGGTATTTACCCCAAAGATATAAATGTAGTCACCCGAAGGGCACCTGCACCCCAATGTTTATAGCAGCAATGTCCACAATAGCCAAACTACGGAAAAAGCCCAGATGTCCATCGACAGATGAATGGATAAAGAAGATGTGGTATATATATATACAATGGAATATTACTCATCCATCAAAAAAAGAAAAAAAGAAATCTTGCTATTTGCAATGATGTGGGTGGAACTAGAGGGTATTATGCTAAGTGAAATAAGTCAGTCAGAGAAAGACAATTATCATATGATCTCACTCATATGTGGAAGTTAAGAAACAAAACAGAGGATCATAGGGGAAGGGAGGGAAAAATAAAACAAGATGAAAGCAGAGAGGGAGACAAACCACAAAAGACTCTTAACCATAGGAAACAAACTGAGGATTGCTGGAGGGGAGGAGTGTGGGGGGATGTAGTAACTGGGTGATGGACATTTAGGAGGGCATGTGATGTAATGAGCACTGGGTGTTATATAAGACTGATGAGGGCGCCTGGGTGGCTCAGTTGGTTAAGCGACTGCCTTCGGCTCAGGTCATGATCCTAGAGTCCTGGGATCGAGTCCCACATCGGGCTCCCTGCTCAGCGGGGAGTCTGCTTCTCCCTCTAACCCTCTTCC